TAATTTATATCATTCGTTAAGCGAGGCTTCTTCTTTTTGTACAACTGTACATCAATTCGTTACCTGCTGTCCATATGTTTCAAACTCATAGTCTTGAAGGTTAGAGTAAATTGTCTTCTTCACTGTCAGCCAGCCCTTAACCCAAGTGAAATCCACGGTAGTCAGAGGTAGACTGAGGCCTGGTAGTTTACTTTAGCCTGATTTATTGGGTGATTTTGTAGTACAAGCTTCCTCTTAAAATATGTAAAACTTTTCATCTTTGTTTCCCTGTTCCTTAGAAAAGTATGTGGCAATGCTGTTCAACACAGATACATGCTATCCTGTCAGCTTCGGGTTCCCAAGTTGTCTTGAAATGTCAATCATGGTTTTCGCGAACTTCATGGGAGAAAAAGAAGAGGATTCAAGAACACTTTTAAGGGATGCTATGGAAACCGTTCTCTCAGAAGAAATAATGGCTGGCAAGAGTCATGGAAGCAGTGCATTCAGAGATATGCACAAAATCATGCTTCCATTTACGCATCCCCCCAAGCCTCGAGGAAGACATTTAGTGTATAACTCAGACATCTGTTTACTGTCAGTGGATTTTGTCAGCTACCTAGAGCCAAGTTTGACGCATTTTGCTGTGACAGACGTTGTGTATATGTATGTAATGAAATTAGTTGAAATAACTTTAAAGGCACCGCCGCTTTCACTTAGAAAGGATTTCAAACCCACGGAACCTTGGGTTGCAGAAATATTTGTATCGGGCGTCGAGTTCAAAAAAGTCCTCTGCTCGAACCGAACAAAAAGATGTCGTCAGTTTGTCACCCTTCTGGCAGGAGCAATTTTTCTGACCTATGTTGCAGAAGATTTGAATGTGCCTGACAACACTACGAAACTGAGTGTTAATTTGTTTTCAAGACAGAAGCTTCTTCGAATGAGACTGATGCACTCCCGCAACGAAATCAGAACACGCTCAGACTTGGCAGCCTCCTTTGCTCGTAGAAATTTCAGTTTAATTGGTCAGATGACTGGCCGACGGATCAGGTCGTTTTGGTATAATAGAACCGGAGGAACAGAGTTAAGTGTTCACGAGTCTAAAGACACCATAGAGAACCTTTTTGAGTCCTACTATACAACTTGAAGCCTGATATATTGTTTTTGTGTTTAATTTCTGATATGAAAGACGTCAAATATTAAATGTGTTTTAGTGTACCACCACTGTCACTGTTATATGTGAACTTGTATGAAACTATTTTGCTGCCCTTAATTCGAATAAAGCTGGAATTTCAGTCCGCTATCACTGCCTCATATTGTACACCTTATATGTACATATGCCACGGTGCACTTGCTTGGAGATGACTCCATTCTATACATGTGCCACTGTACATCTGCATACTATTGGATACGGTTGATTAAACTTACTACTGAAAAAAAGCTGTTTTCAGGTGAATGAAAAGGCTTATTTACTAACTGGTGGATAATTGAGAAGTGTATGATGTGTGTGGTTATGCATGTGAAATCGCGGGTGAAGATGAAGTTATCATTTGATGGGCAGTGGAAGAAGAAAAAAAATCTATATCAATTGTGTTTAAAAGGAGAAATGTGAAGAGATACTCCTACATGTAGACAATGGTAGGTTAGAAGTATGTTTGAATGGTGCAAGGGCTGCGTTGTGTTGCTGAACTCTTAATCTATTTTTGTACCTTTAAACTACTAGTATATAGGTATATAGCCTGGTAACACATGCCTACGGGTCGGCTGAGGGTTTATTTGCTCCCAGATACAAGTTTTGCCGTCATTTCTAATTGCTGCCTCCCAGTAATAAAAACCAACACCCACAGCCGACCGTAGAGTATGTGTTACCAGGCTAATAGGTATAGGTCTGGACCGAAGTATCAGGTGTATCTAGATCTAAAAAAAGTAAAGTAAGTGAGGAGGGAGGGTGGCGGCAACACGAGCGGTTGCATCTTCAGTCTGATTATATGTTCAACAGCGTATTTAACCCTATCTAGACCGGGCTTTTTTGGCATTGGTGGGGCCGGGGGGGGGGGGGGGCTC